TACACTTTTCTTCATTCCTGGCCACCGGACTTGGATCAAAGTGTAGTATCTGTTCTCATCTATAACAGTAATGCTAATACTAGCCGTTTCCCTATAAGGAAACATTCTGTATTCATTGACCGATCAGCCAGTGCTTCTCGATACGCTTTTCTTCACTCCCTGGTCATTGGGCTGCGATCAGAGTGTAATAGCTGTTCTCCTCATATTAACCGTTTCATTATAAGGAAACATTCGTCATTCATTGATCGAGCAGCCAGTACTACTGTCGGTTGAAATTTATAAAATCTTTCTCTTAAAACATTTTTTCAAGAAAATAAGTTTCTCAAGTCCAGTACCAATTATCGCTCTGTCCTGTATTGACGGGAGTTTCCTTCCTAACCTTTTATTTGAAGTCGTGTGAAATATCAACTTCTTGATTATGTCCTTATTTTCTCTTCGTGTTACATGTGACATTTTAGCTGTTGACAATTCACAAGTTTCTGATATTTGGTGCAGTTGTTTATTTGTGATTCTGTAGCGCCATTCCCCAAGGTTCGAAGAAGGATGATTTTCGCCATGACACGCCGGCTTCATTCGCTCAAGGCCATTTTAATCATTGATTTTATTATATGGCTGTTAGCTTAGATATTTTTTCATACCCATATGGAATTCTCTATTTTGAGTCGGTTATCTAAGTACATGGCTCGAATTTTCGGGTTAATGTTTTGGTTTTGCAGCAATTGGTGGTATTGAGAGAAACTAGTGCAGTCTGTTTTTATGTTCAATTTACTTTTCGCCTCTATTAAATTTATAATAACTGACCCCTACACGTAGGTATTTGAAGTTTTTGCTATTTACTAAAGTCACATCCTGAATTTTTATGATGGTTTCAAGGTATGTGCCATCAATCTTTTCATTCCAATTTCAAATTATAGTTCCTGTTTTGCGGGGCACAATGGCGTAGGGTAATGGTTAGCAAGCTTGTCTCGCTAGAACTGAGTAGTGAGTTCGATCCTTACTGGATGCTCCATAGGCTTGTGCCACATCTAAGCTAAGCTTAGAAAAGGGAAAGATCTATTTTGAGTGCTAATCCTTGGAACACTTGGTAGAGGATGTTGAGTTTCTTTTCAAGATCATTTCTTATCCCAACTCTGAATACCAATGTCGTCAGCATGGCTTCCGCTATCAAGTATCATCCTTTCTTGAAATAAATAATTCCTAACATCTAATCCTTGCGATAAGTCTTACGGTCTATCTGATATTTTATGCGCTCTTTATTCAGTTTATAAACAATAAGAGCTATAAACAGATTTCTTTCTACGAAAGTCCGATGCATTGAGCGTGTTCAATATCCAATTCCTTGTTCTTAATAGTTTGGTCTGCTTTACGGCATATCAACCTTAATTGGTTATTTAATGCCGACAACATTTTTAGGATAGATTCGTATGAATAGAATATGTATTCTTTGGTTTAGATTGGTTTGGTTTATTTTGTTTTACGGCATATTAACCTCAATGGGTTATTTAATGCCGACAAGATGTTTAGGATAGATTGGTTTGGTTTTGTATTGAGACTGGCAAATTAATATGCCTAATTTGCATAAGTGCAAAGGAAAGACTATATAACTAGTCACTGAGAATAACGTAGAAGGGAAGACAAGCTTAGCAACATACTAGTGCTATACTTCGACTTCTCAACAGGTTTACTTTGTTTTACGGCATATTAATCACAATGTGTTATTTAATGACTGACTGATGTATTCTTTGTAAAAAATCATCTTGGAGATCAGGTTCATTGACGTATTCTGTAATGAAGGTTTTTGTTGAGAATCAAATGTATTGCTGGTAATTCTTTTTCAAAAACGTATTGCTCGTAATATATATATTTTTTTATTTCAGAAATGTATTGCTGGCAATATTTTTTTTTTATTTCAGAAATGTATTGCTGGCAATATTTTTTTTCAAAAAAGTATTGCTTGTTAATATATTTTGCATAATAATAATATATTTTTTGTCAACAATGTATTGCTGGTAATATTTTTATTTAAAAAGTATATATCCGGAAATATTTTTTTTCAAAAATGAATTGCTGGTAATTTTTGTTTTTCGAAAATGTACCGGTGGTAGTATTTTTTTATTTCAAAAATGTATTGTTGGCAATATTTTTTTATTTAAAAAAATTACTGCTTGCAACATTTTTTTTTCAAAAATATATTGCTGTTAATAATTTTTCTTTCCAAAAGTGTATTTCAGGTAATATTTTATTTTTCGAAAATGTATTGCTGGTAATATTTTTTTTTCAAAAATATATTACGTGTATTTTTACGATACAATCTATTTTTATACTTTCATAGTGTTTTGACCGCAGTTTCGGGGTTTACTTTTTACCCATAGGTAGGACGCTAACAGGTTCTACCGCACTAGATTAGTGTGAACCTAGGAACAACAGCCGTTAGGAGGTGGTTCCACACTCCTTAAAACCCCCATTCTCCCGATCAGTATCTTTACTGCCGGGTGTAGTTTATCGTCATACCCAGGACGTTGTTCTTACTTACCAGGGCGTTCGGTTTTCTTTTTCATTTTCATATTAAATATACAAAGATACAACCGCCAAAGCACAAGCTTGTTTGTGGGGGTGTTCTAAAAAGGCAGAATCAACTTTCTTCATGTCGTGAATGTGACAGATATGATCATTTATTTCCTCTCATTTCTTTCCTTTTATTGCCACATCATGTTGAACCGCAGTTTCTCGTAAGATCATCGATCCAGTTCAGTATCTAGATGAGTAATCACATTTTTATACCATGTCACGTAAAGCCTTGTTGTGAGTGTGGTGTAATGGATAATGGCTCTGAATTATTAACCTGAGATATGGGTTCTAATTACACTTGGGTTCGTCATATTCATTAACGCAAAAATATCTTTGGGAAAGGTATGAATGTACCTTTTCTCCTCTCCAGCTATGGGTTAATTAGTAATACTTTTATCACTAAATCATAAAAAAGGAAGAATGCTTCCAATCCAAAAAGATTTGCTGGCTTTAAATCACCTGAAAGTTCAATATGTCTGGAAAGTGCTAAATTTTCCATTATTTTTAAAAGAATCGATTAAAAAACATTGTCAATGAATAATGACAAAGAACGAACTCAGTGCTCCAGTGGACGAAACCAATCGATTTGTATAAAATAAAATATCAAATATGGAATATTTCTTCCATATCTTGTCTCCAGTTCCGGGAATATATCAAGAGATTCTTAGCAAAATCCAAAGAAAGTTCTGCAATGTGATCGCTGCTGTTTTTTGGCATCTCGTCTTCAGTCACTATCAGTCTTCAAGACTATGACGTTGCTTTCCTTTGTCTATTCTATAAACAATTTCATGGTATTTGCTTTCAACACTTCTCCTCGACCTCGGGAATTTAAGCCTACTACTAGATTAGCTATTCGGTCTCATTATTTCGTTGTTGAAATAGCGACACGTAACCTTAATTTATATTCTAAGAATTTCTTTTCTCGCATGTCTCACCTGCGGAACACTTTTCCAATTTCTTGCTTTCTTTGTTACCTACAATCTTCAGAAAATTAAATGCAACATGAATCTTCTTAGAGCTGGTTCTTGTATTGTCCTTTCACCTCAATAGAGTCTTGTCTTCTCATTCTTTTAAAATTGCATTGTATTAATCCATACCAAATGTAACGCCTGAGAAAAAAAAAATGCAAATCAATATCGAACCTGAAACGAAAGGTAACACGAATAACCGCTAACCAACTTGGATACCTAAGCCACGCGCTTAAATTTAACAAAACTAACTGAAATAATATTTTAAGTATCAACTACTTCTTAATAGAAGGCGGCGATCATTATTTCAAAAATACTTTGACGATATAAAATCATTTATCGTTTTTAATCAGAAAATGACAATGATTTCGTCAGAGTGTCTAACTGACTTTTAATAATTCACTGACGATTTAATATAAGACATTTCAGGAAATTAATTATGTAAATAACCATAAACACATACTTGACAAATTGGTTCATTCGTAGATATAAAACTTCCTACAGAAAGCTGTTTACTGCCCGGGTGAACCGCAGTGGTCTGTGGTGCAGGCTTCAAACCTGTGGCTGACTAACGTCAGAGTGGTTCGATTCCGCCCTCCGGGCGTACGATTTTCTTTTTCTTTTTAAAATTAGAATATATAAAAAAGATTTTTAACGAAAAATATAATTTATTTCCGCTTATTTCGATGTCACAAGAATAATCGACGAAACAAAGGCGAATTTTCATCTTTATAGAGTGGGAGTTTCAAATGAATTCTCTACCTTGGTACCTAGACGGTGAGAATTTAAGCGAGCTACTAGATTGGTAAATAGGTCTCATCGGTTTATTGTTGAAAAAGCAACAGGTAACCGCAATACAATCTAATAGCTTCTTTTCTCAAATGTCTCACCTGTGCTAATCTTTTCCAATTTCTTTCTTCCTAATCACTTACATTCTTCAAGTAATTAAATGCAACATAAAATACAATTTCACTTATTGACCTCTGATATTTTTTTACTTATTACCTTACTAGAGTTTTCTCATTCCGATCTAAGAAAAAATCGCCGGTTTACTAAAACATTAAAAACGTAACGCTTGGAAAAATAATACAGGTGCTAGAAGTGGGATCGAACGCAAGACAGAGGGCAATACAGACACACTACTATCCCACACGGCCACCAAACGCGTCATTTAACTGCCTTTTATAAAATCACATAAAATCGAAAATTAGTAACATTATAAGTGTCAATGAATTGCCGATGAATTCCCAGCAGAAGCGAACATTATCTCAAAATTAGCTTGACTGTACAAAATTATTTATAGTTTTTAATCACAACCTGAAAAATGATTTCATCAGAATATTTGGCTGACACTTAATAAGTCACTGACGTTTTAAGATAAGATTTTTCAGGAAATAAAATATGCAAATAACCATAAACATATACTTGATAATTGGATTCATTCTTTGGTACAAAACATAATACTCAATGCCCACTTGATGATGCCCAAATGATAGATAGATAGATAGATAGATAGATAGATAGATAGATAGATAGACAGAGAGAGAGAGAGAGAGAGAGAGAGTGAGAGGGATAGAGAGAGACTTATGATCTAGTCATATAAGCGATGGGAATTTTCTTATATACGCTGTGTCTGTTCAGGACTTGTTTAATCATGGTTCTCCACCATTTCCTCTCATTTGTAGCTCTTAGCAACATTTAACATTTTGCTATGTTTTATAATCACAGATGTAGGAGATGAGGAAATTAAATACAGAATAGGATGTTCTAGAGGTAATTTCGTCCCAAAATAACCTGAACACATGTGTCATGCTCTCAAATACCTGACTCAGATATGGAGGTCATGCATAGCGTCAAACTCGTTCAGAAATACCTAAAACTAGTCAAGGTAGCCGGTGTTGCCTGTGTGTACATGACTGCAATTGTATAACCGCACCCCGTGTATACCCGCACCCCACTGTCTTGTGACGTCCCTAAACACAGCCTTCGCTCGCTCCTCGCTGCTTCGTTCGGGTGTCGCCGCTCCAAACGTGACGTCCGCCTGTCGCGTCAGTCGTGTTCTCGTCCTGTGACGACCGACTGGCTTGGTATCGGTCGCGGCACCCAAATGTGACGTTCTAACCTTTTGGTGACTCGGATGGGAATCTGGTTAGATTCGATATCAGCCTCGTCGTTCCCAACTCTCTTCCAACGTCTGGTTACCAAAGTAACTGCGTTGATCTCCAGTCTGCCTACCCACGTTGTGAATTGATCTTACGCAGACGAAATCAATCAGTCGTCAGGGCCGTAATGCAAGTTGGGTCCAAGCAGGGGTGGTATCGCACAAATACGTATAAAAGAAATAAAATGAAAACTCAAAAGTTCAAGGTATCAGAAAAAAAGGATAACAAACTTTATGTCTAGTTGCTAGATACATAGGACTGCGTCTATCTCCCGACCCGTTCTATGGATTGTGACACGTTGTTTTCCGTTAGGCGAGTTTTAACACTTCAAGCTGTTTGCTTTTTAAGAAATTGTTTTTTTTTTTTGGTGTGTCTTCGGGCGAAAGTCGAAAAAAACTTATTTTGGTGGTCTGAATCTAAGTCGCTCTTCAAAATAATTGTTCTTGGATTGAAGATGAGTCCGGAAATTTCGCGAATCTTGGTCAGCCGATGTGAGGCCTGCTTCAACTGAGCACTGGAGACTGACTCTGGGAACTGTCTCTCCCGAACTTAACTCTGGAACTGTCTCTCCCGAAATCATTTCTGCTCGCTGCGACTTTGCTTATATGGACGCCGACCAAAACCGGGGTGGGTTTGTCGGCGCCAGGGGTTCCTCGATAATACTAAATACATATCCACTTCTCTTATTTTTGGTTAGGAATTTTCCACTTCTTTCCATTTTTGGGAGCCTTCTCTTACTCCCACCTTCTCACCATACTTCAGAGGTGCGTGAACTTCCCTCCCGACTTCTTCGTAGCAACCTCTCATACCCATTCTCTAGGTGGTCGGCGACAGCTTCCTCCTTGCGTCACGTGATCACCACTCGGCTAATGATATCCAGCCGGGCGTGTGCGATCCCGTGGGCTTTGTTTCAGGGAAAAAAAATATCTTGCTTAAAAAAAAAATAATCTTTTTCTTTTCCTTTTCTTTCTTTTAATCGCAGTTCTCATTTTCTCTGGCCGCAAATAGAACAATGCGATCGGTGGTGGTCATAACTCTTGTTCTCACCTGGACTTCGTCAGTCATCTTATCGCTAATAATCAGAATGGGTGGTCTAGCGAAACACAGTCGACCGTCGTCTCGAAAAAAAGAAAAGTTCCATTGTCCTAGCCGTATTTGCATTCTTGGGGCCAATTTCTGATAACATAGTTCTGTTATCGCAGCCAAAGATGTCTTGTCAAAAAAAAACGGTCAGACGTTACTTCGTGTGCGGCTTGGCAGACGACAGAGTTAATTTTTCATATCTATCCAAAGCCCTGTATTTCACCTGTTCTTTGTCAATTATCAAAATAACATTTTCAATTGGAGTTTTTCTTGGCTAGTCGGTCTGTGGATTGCTAATTAGATGTTTTCCGCATTGAGCTGCTCTTATCTATCCAAAGCCCTGATAACACAAGTTGTTGACAGTACACAGTCGATTCCCCCATCTACCTAGAATCCTTCTGCCATTGTAATGACATCCAAGATTGGGTCTCGCCTCTCTTTTCCTTTCTTTCCATTCTATTTTTCCTTTCTTTTCCTTTTTCCCTGGTAAATGGTGCCACATCTAGAAATATCTGCCCGCGTCCCTGCTTGAATACATCACCCCTTAGTATACTAAACTACTCTCTCCCCTCATCTTTTTTACGGTATGTCCTTCGCAAGTGTTTTCTTGTTCTTAATAAAGCAATTTCATCGATAAAACTTCTTGTGTGATCGTTTCTCGGGGTTAAATTATCTCAATGTTTGAGATATTCAGTAAATTTCCTAACTTTCAAATAGTATGGCATTGTTCACAAATCTAACAATCAAATATAAAATCTAACAATCAAACAAAAACAGGTATGAAGCGTCAGAGCTTGACTCAACAGCAAGTGTAAACGCATAAACGCCCCCTCCTTCTTCGCACGTTTAGTGTAAAGCTGAGTTTAACAAGAGGTTCTTCGGGAAACGTTCCCTTTGAACGTTTCAATAATCCTTCTCAAACAATCTTTGCCTCAAATGTTGTTCAAATACCAGCAAATATGAAGAAACTATTGGCAAATTTCGGCCACGTAACAGAAATAATTTAAACCAACCATTCATGGAAAACAGTTTGTGTATCATATGTAAGTGACATGGCAAATTTGGAAAGCCTCAAATGAAAAACCAGGGAGTTGTTTCCGAAAAATGAGCTTTTTGAACCGTTTTTCGTGGATATTCGTTATGCGCGGGGGAAATGAGCTTATTCCTTGCATAATGTCAAATATTTTGTGACATGATTGAAGAAAATCGGATAAAAAATGAGGAATTTATTCAAGTTTTTATTTTAAATAGTACGAAAAACCCGATTTTTTTCAGTTTTTCACAATTTATCTATGTGAAGTAATGTCGCCTGAAAACTATCAATAATTCTACAGAAAACTCGTAACATGAGATAGGTTTTGCATTAAGTGCAAAGAACATCAGCTCATCCACTAAAAATTTTTTTCGCGTGTAACTTTGCTTTGGTTTTTGCCAAAAGTCGTACCCACCTTCAACTTTATGGATTTTTCTGCCAAACTCAGTGGGGCCTGGACATTGAACTCTTTGTTTAAACTAAAGTAATACATTTGAAATATGTGTATAGAATTTCATCAAAATCGCTCGAGAAATGTGGACGTTCATAAACAGCATACATACACAGACAGAAAGATACGTAGACAGACAGACGTCATCGGTTTTATAGATATAGATTTCAGGAGGATTTATTAAAAATACCAAATGTGAAGCCTGGGGAAGAAAAGTATCACGGTCATAAGTGGGACCGAACGTAGAACAGCTGGTGTCACAGAAAACAAATAATCCGCCTGGCAACCTAACAGGCTACAGAGAAAATCATTATTATTGTATCAACTTTAAGGTTAATAACATTTTAACTATCAACTACATCTCAATAGAAGGATGCGATGATTATTTCAAAATTACTTTGACTGTATAAAATCCTTTATTTCTTGTTTAACTGTTTTACTGTTGTTTAAGCACTCACTGACGATTTAATTTTAGATTTCCATAAAATTAATTATGCAAATAACCATAAACACATCCTTGTCAAGTGGTTTCATTCTTATGTATAAAACGTGCTTCGGCAGGCTACCTGCTGTCCGGATGAACTGCAGTGGTCGCTGGTGCAGGATTCAAATCTATGGCTGAATGACGTCAGAGTGGTTCGATTCCACCCTCCGGGTGTTGTTGTAATTTTATTATTATTATTAATCACACATAAATAAGTTTGTTTTTTTAAAACATAAATACAATCTAATTCTGCATAGGTAACACATTTTGATGTCACTAGAATAGTCTACAATACACAGAGAGACAAATTGGCCATCTTATAGAGTGGCAGCTCATGGCATTTGACAGAAGAGAAATATTAATCGGAAATCTGCGTTCTAATTCCAGTTGTGTTCGTAACCATAAACATATTCTTGCCAACGAGAACCATTCGTAGGTATAAAACGTGCTTCTGAAGACTATCTGACGCCCGTATGAACTACAGTGGTCTGTGGTGCAGGCTTCAAACCTGTGGCTGACTAACGTCAGAGTGGTTCGATTCCACCCTTCGGGCGTTCCATTTTCTTTTTCGTTTTCATTTTAATATTAGAATATACAAAGATACAACCACCAAAGAACTACCTTGTGTGGGGTGTGTGTTCTAAAAAGGCAGAATCAACTTTCTTCATTTCGTGAATGTGACAGATATGATCATTTATTTCCTCTCATTTCTTTCCTTTTATTGCCATTGCCACATCATGTTGAACCGCAGTTTCTCGTAAGATCACCACAGTTTAGCAACATCGATCCAGTTCAGTATCTAGATGAATAATCATATTTTTATACCATGTCATGTAAAGCCTTGTTGTGAGTGTGGTGTAATGGATAATGGCTCTGAATTATTAACCTGAGATCTGGGTTCTAATTACACTTGGGTTCGTCATATTCATTAACGCAAAAATATCTTTGGGAAAGGTATGAATGTACCTTTTCTCCTCTCCAGCTATGGGTTAAATAGTAATACTTTTATCAGTAAATCATAAAAAAGGAAGAATACTTCCAATCCAAAAAGATTTTCTGGCTTTAAATCACCTGAAAGTTCAATATGTCTGGAAAGTGCTAAATTTTCCATTATTTTTAAAAGAATCGATTAAAAAACATTGTCAATGAATAAAGACAAGGGACGAACTCTGTACTACAGTGGACGAAACCAATCGATTTGTATAAAATAAAATATCAAATATGGAATTTTGCTTCCATATCTTGTCTCCTGTTCCGGGAATATATCAAGAGATTCTTAGCAAAATCCAGAGAAAGTTCTGTAATTTGATCGCTGCAGTTTTTGGCATCTCGTCTTTAATCACTTTCGCTCCATTACGACATTGTTTCACTTTGACTATTCTATAAATAATTTCATGGTATTTGCTTTCAACAATTCTCCTCGACCTCGGGAATTTAAGCCTACTACTAGATTAGCTATTCGGTCTCATTTTTTCGTTGTTGAAATAGCGACACGTAATCTTAATTTATATTCTAAGAATTTCTTTTCTCGCATGTCTCACCTGCGGAACACTTTTCCAATTTCTTGCTTTCTTTGTTACCTACAATCTTCAGAAAATTAAATGCAACATGAATCTTCTTAGAGCTGGTTCTTTTATTGTCCTTTCACCTCAATAGAGTCTTGTCTTCTCATTCTTTTAAAATTGCATTGTATTAATCCATACCAAATGTAACGCCTTTGAAAAAAAAGAGCAAATCTATATCGAACCTGGAACGACAGGTAACACGAATAACACCTAACCAACTTGGCCACCTAAGCTACGCGCTGAAATTCGACAAAATTAACTGAAATAATATTTTAAGTATCTACTACTTCTTAATAGAAGGCGGCGATCATTATCTCAAAATTACTTTGACTATATAAAATCATTTATCGTTTTTCATCAGAAAATGACAATGATTTCGTCAGAATGGCTAACTGACTTTTAATAATTCATTGACAATTTAATATATGACATTTCAGGAAATTAATTATGTAAATAACCATAAACCCATACTTGACAAATTGGTTCATTCGTAGATATAAAACCGTCTACAGAAAGCAATTTGCTGCCCGGATGAACCGCAGTGGTCTGTGGTGAAGGCTTCAAACTTGTGGCTGGCTCACGTCAGAGTGGTTCGATTCCACCTTCCGGGCGTACGATTTTCTTTTTCTTTTTAAAATTAGAATACATAAAAAAGATTTTTAACGAAAAATATAATTTATTTCCGCTTATTTCGATGTCACAAGAATAATCGACTGCACAAAGGCGAATTTGTCATCTTTATAGAGTGGGAGTTTCAAATGAATTCTCTACCTTGGTACCTAGACCGTGAGAATTTAAGCGAGCTACTAGATTGGCAATTAGGTCTCATCGGTTTATTGCTGAAAAAGCAACAGGTAACCGCAATATAATCTAATAGTTTCTTTTCTCAAATGTCTCACCTGGGCTAATCTTTTCCAATTTCTTGCTTCCCAATCACTTACATTCTTCAAATAATTAAATGCAACATAAAATACAATTTTACTTACTGACCTCTGATATTTGTTTTACTTATTACCTTACTAGAGTTTTCTCATTCCGATCTAAAAAAATAAATCACAGGTTTACTAAAACATTAGAAACGTAACGCCTGAAAAAATAAAACATGTGCTGGAAGTGGGATCGAACCCAAGACAGAGGGCAATACAGACACACAACTATCCCACACGGCCACCAAACGCTTTTATAAAGTTTTTTTATAAAATCTAAAATTAGTAACATTATAAGTTTCAATGAATTGCCGATGAATTCCCAGCAGAAGCGAACATTATCTCAAAATTAGCTTGACTGTACAAAATTATTTATAGTTTTTAATCACAAACTGAAAAATGATTTCATCAGAATATTTGGCTGACACTTAATAAGTCACTGACGTTTTAAGATAAGATTTTTCAGGAAATAAAATATGCAAATAACCATAAACATATACTTGAGAATTGGATTCATTCTTTGGTACAAAACATAATACTCAATGCCCACTTGATGATGCCCAAATGATAGATAGATCGATAGATAGATCGATAGAGAGAGAGAGTGAGAGGGATAGAGAGATACTTATGATCTAGTCATATATGCGATGGCAAATTTCGGCCACTTAACAGAAATAATTTAAACCAACCATTCATGCAAAACAGTTTGTGTATCATATGTAATTGACATGGTAAATTTGGAAAGCCTCGAATGAAAAACCAAGGAGTTGTTTCCGAAAAATGAGCTTTTTGAACCGTTTTTCGTGGATATTCGTTATACGCGTGATACGCGGGGGAAGTGAGCTTATTCCTTGCATAATGTCAAATATTTTGCGACATGACTGAAGAAAATCGGATAAAAAATGAGGAATTTATTCAAGCTTTTATTTTAAATAGTACGAAAAACCCGATTATTTTCAGTTTTTCACAATTTTTCTATGTGAAGTAATGTCGCCTGAAAACTATCAAAAACTCTACAGAAAAATCGTAACATGAGATAGGTTTAGCATTAAGTGCAAAGAACATCAGCTCATCCACTAAAAATTTTTTTCGCGTGTAACTTTGCCTTGGTTTTTGCCAAAAGTCGTACCCACCTTCAACTTTATGGATTTTTCTGCCAAACTCAGTGAGTCCTGGACATTGAACTATTGGTCTTAAACTAAATGAATACATTTGAAATATGTGTATAGAATTTCATCAAAATCGTTCCAGAAATGTGGACGTCCATAAATAGCATACATACACAGACAGAAAGATACACGTAGACAGACAGACATCATCGGTTTTATAGATATAGATTTCAGGAGGATTTATTCGGGCGAAAAAAATTTCAAATGTGAAGCCTGAGGAAGAAAAGTATCTTGGTCAAGATGAGTGGGATCGAACGTAGAACAGCTGGTGTCACAGAAAACAAATAACCCGCCTGGCAACCTAAAAAGGCTACAGAGAAAATAATTATTGTCGTATCATCTCTAAGGTTAATAACATTTTAACTATCAACTACATCTCAATAGAAGGATGCGATGATTAATTCAAAATTACTTTGACTATATAAAATCCTTCATCTCTTGTTTATCTGTTTTACTGTTGTTTAAGCACTCACTGACGATTTAATTTAAGATTTCCATAAAATTAATTATGCAAATAACCATAAACACATCCGTGTCAAGTGGTTTCATTCGTAGGTATAAAACGTGCTTCAGATGGCTACCTGCTGCCCGGATGAACCGCAGTGGTCTGTGGTGCAGGCTTCAAACCTGTGGCTGAAAAACGTCAGAGTGGTTCGATTCCACCTTCCGGGCGTTGTTGCAATTTTATTATCATTATTAATCACACATAAATAAGTTTGTTTTTTAAAACATAAATACAATCTATTTCTGCATAGGTAACACATTTTGATGTCACTAGAATAGTCTACAATACACAGAAAGACAAATTAGCCATCTTATAGAGTGGTCGCTTATGGCATTTGACAGAAGATAAATATTAATCGGAAATATGCGTTCTAATTTCAGTTGTGTTCATAAACATATTCTTGCCAACGAGATCCATTCGTTGGTATAAAACGTGCTTCTGAAGATTGTCTGACGCCCGATGAACTGCAGTGGTCTGTGGTGTAGGCTTGAAACCTGTGGCTGACTAACGTCAGAGTGGTTCGATTCCATCCTCCGGCCGTTCGGTTTTCTTTTTCTTTTTCATTTCAATATTAAAATATACAAAGATATAACCACCAAAGCACAAGCTTGTTTGGCGGGGGGTGGTTCTAAAAAGGGAGAATCAACTTTCTTCATTTCGTGAATGTGACAGATATGATCATTTATTTCCTCTCATTTATTTCCTTTTATTGCCACATCATATTGAACCGCAGTTTCTCGTAAGATCACCAAAGTTTAGCAACATCGATCCAGTTCAGTATCTAGATGAGTAATCACATTTTTATACCATGTCATGTAAAGCCTTGTTGTGAGTGTGGTGTAATGGATAACGACATTGAATTATTAACCTGAGATATGGGTTTTAATTACACTTGGGTTCGTCATATTCATTAACGCAAAAAATATCTTTTGGGAAAGGTATGAATGTACCTTTTCTCCTCTCCAGCTATGGGTTAATTAGAAATACTTTTATCACTAATTCATAAAAAGGAAGAATACTATCCAATGTAAAAAAGCAAATTTTCTGGCTTTAAATCACCAGGGAAAGTTCAATATGTCTGGAATGTGCTAAATTTTCCATTATTTTGGGGAAAAAAAGAATCGATTAAAAACATTGTCAATGAATAATGACAAGGAACGAGGAATTTCTCAAGCTTTTATTTACAATGGACGAAACCAATCGATTTGTATAAAATAAAATATCAAATATGGAATATTTCTTCCATATCGTGTCTCCTGTTCAGGGAATATATGAGAAGGAGATTCTTAGCAAATCCAGACTAAAAAATTTTTCTGCAATATGATCGCTTTGTTTTTGGCATCTCGTCTTCAGTGGATTTTTCTTGCCAAACTCATGACGTTGCATTGAACTATTGTCTATTCTATAAATGAATTTTTGGTATTTATAGAATTTCAACACTTCTCCTCGACCTGTGGAATTTAAAGCCTACTACTAGACAGAAAGATATTGACAGGTCTCGGTTTTTTTTCGTTGTTTATTAAAATAGCAAACGTGAAGCCTGAGGAAGAAATTTATATTCTAAGAATTTCTTTTAGAACATGTCTCAGAAAACGGAACACTGGCAACCCAAAAAATTTCTTGCTTTCTTTGTTACCTACAATCTTCAGAAAATTAAATGCAACTATGAACTACATCTAGAGCCGGTTCGATTTTATTGTCCTTTTGACTCAATAAGAGTTATTTTGTTTAACTGTTTCATTGTTTTAAAATTGACGATTTATTAATCCATACCAAATGTAACGCCTATGCAAAAAAAAAAAAACAAATCAATATCGAACCTGGAACGAAAGCTAACATGAATAATTGCGGATGAACCAACTTGGCCACCTATGGCTGAACGACGCTTAATTTCGACAAAACTAACTGAAATAATATTTTATTATTAATCAACTAAATAAGTTTTTTTAGAAAACGGAGATCATTATGTAAAAAAACATTTTGACTATATAAAATCATTTATCGTTTTTAGAAAGAAAATGACAATGATTTCGTCAGAATGTTTAACTGACTTTTAATAATTCACTGACGATTTAATATAAGACATTGCCGATGAATTCCCAGCAGAAGCGAACAATATCTGAAAATTAGCTTGACTGTACAAAATTACTTATAGTTTTTAATCACAAACTGAAAAATGATTTTATCAGAATATTTGGCTGACACTTAATAAGTCACTGACGTTTTAAGATAAGATTTTTCAGGAAATAAAATATGCAAATAACCATAAACATATACTTGAGAATTGGATTCATTCTTTGGTACAAAACATAATACTCAATGCCCACTTGATGATGCCCAAATGATAGATAGATCGATAGATAGACAGATAGATAGATAGATAGATAGAGAGAGAGAGAGAGAGAGAGAGAGAGAGTGTGTGTGAGAGGGATATAGAGAGACTTATGATCTAGTCATATATGCGATGGCAAATTTCGACCAAATAAAGTATGCAAATAACTGTGATGTCCCTCTCCACAGCCTTCACTCGCTCCTCGCTGCTTCGTACGGGTGTCGCCGCTCCAAACCTGACGTCCGCCTGTTTGCGTCAGTCGTGTTGTCCCGTCCTGTGACGACCAACTGGCTTCGTATCGGTCGCGGCACCCAAATGTGACGTTCTAACTTTTGGTGATTCGGATGGGAATCTGGTTAGATTCGATATCAGCCTCGTCGTTCCCAACTCGCTTCCAACGCCTAGTTACCAAGGTAACTGCATTGATCCCCAGTCTGCCTACCCACGTTGTGAATTGATCTTAGGCAGACGAGATCAATCAGTAGTTGGGGCCGTAATGCAAATTGAGTTCAGACGAGGGTGGTATCACACAAATATGTATAAAAGAAAATAAAATGATCTCAAAAGTTCAAGGTATCAAAAAAAAAAAAAGGATAACAATACTTTATATTTAGTTGCTAGATACATAGGACTGCGTCTATCTCCCGACTCGCTATATGGATTGTGACACGTTGTTTTTGTTAGGTGAGTTTTAGCATCTTAAGTTGTCTGTTCTTTAAGAAATTGGTTCTTGGTGTGTCTTCAGGCGATAGTCGAAAAACTTATTTTGGTGGTATGGATCTAAGTCGCTCTTCAAAATAAATTGTTCTTGGATTGAAGATGAGTTCGGAAGTTGCACGAATCTTTCAAGTCAGCTCTGCGAGGCCTGCTTCAACTGAGCACTCTGGATTGAACTCTTCTGAACTGATTATTGCTCGCTGTGACTTTGCTTATATAGACGCCGACCAAAACCGGGGTGGGTTTGTCGGGGTTGGAGGTTCCTCGATAACTCCAAATCCACATCCACTTCTTCTATTTTCGGTCAGGAATATTCCACTCCTTTCCATTTTGGGAAGTCTTCACCTACTCCCACCTTCTATTGTTCTCATATAGATATCTCACCATACTTCAGAGGGGCGTCAACGGTTCTCCCCACTTCTTCGTAGCAACTTCTCATAACTATCCTCTAAATGGGCGGCGGCGGCTCCCCCCCCCCTGCGTCACGTGATCACCTCCGCCTGGCCCTCGTTGTCATTCAGCCAATAGCGTCCAACCGGGTGGGTGTGATCCGGCTAGCTTTGTTTTAGGAAAAAAAATACATCTTGCTCAAAAAAAATTATCTTTTTTTTCCTTTTCTTTCCTTAATCGCAGCTCTCATCCCCAATGTCACCTGGGATTTATCTATGCCAATTATCAAGTGGGGCAGTCGTCTCGCGAAAGACAGTCGATTGTCGTCTCGAAAAACAGTTTCATTGTCCTAGCCGTATTTGCATTCTTGGTGCCAATTTCTGATAACATAGTTTTATTATCATTTCCGAATTCTAACACCCATAGATGTCTTGTCAAAACGGCCAAGACGTGACCCAGGGTTGGCTTCGTGTGCGGTTAGCAGACGACCTATTAAATCCTTTCCTGACAATATACTTTGCCCCCTCTGACACACTTAATTTTTCTAATCTATCCAAAGCTCTGTATTCACATAGTCCTTGTCAGACTGTCCTACGACATTGGTGGTCAGAATTTTCACCATCTTTTTCCATTATCAAAATAACATTGTCGAAATGTCTCGGAGTTTTAGCTAGCCGGCCTGTGGTTTGCTAATTAGATGTTCGCCAGCATTAAGTGGCTGTTATCTATCCCCGATAACACAAGTTCTCCACCAGAACACAGTCGATTTTCTTATCCATTTATAATTTTTCTGCAATGGTAATGAAACCTTTCACCATTTGCTACTTATCAAAAGAACATTGTCAATGTCCCCGGTCGTGGGTGGCTTCTCTTATCATCTAAGCTTAAGTCTCGCCTCTCTTTTCCTTTCTTTCATTTCTCTTTTTCTTTTCTTTTTTTGCTTTTTTCTTTTTGTGCCCCTAAATGGTGTTACATAACCATAAACATATACTTGATAATTGGATTCATTCTTTGGTATAAAACATAATTCTCAATGCTCACTTGAAGATGCTCAAATGATGCATTAGATCGATAGATAGATCGATAGATAGATAGATAGATAGAGAGAGAGAGAGAGAGAGAGAGAGACAGAGAGAGAGTGAGAGGGATAGAGAGATACTTATGATCTAGTCATATAAGCGATGGGAATTTTCTTATATACGCTGTGTCTGTTCAGGACTTGTTTAATCATGGTTCTCCACCATTTCCTCTCATTTGTAGCTCTTAGCGACATTTAACATTTTGCTATGTTTTATAATCACACATGTAGGAGATGAGGAAATTAAATACAGAATAGGATGTAGTAGAGGTAATTTCGTCCCCAAATAACCTGAACACATGTGTCATGCTCTCAAATACCTGACACAGATATGGAGGTCATGCATAGCGTCAAACTCGTTCAGAAATACCTAAAACTAGTCAAGGTAGCCGGTGTTGCCTGTGTGTACATGACTGCAATTGTATAACCGCACCCCGTGTATACCCACACCCCACGGTCTAGAAATATCTACCCGCGTCCCTGCTTGATTGCATCATCCCTTAGTATACTAAACTACTCTCTCCCCTCATCTTTTTTACGGTATGTCCTTCGCAAGTGTTTATTTGTTCTCAATAAAGCAATTCCATCGATAAAAAACTACTTGTGTGATCGTTGCTCGGGGTTAAATTGTCTCAATGTTTTAGATATTCAGTAAATTTCCTAACTTTCAAATAGTATGACATTGTTCACAAATCTAACAATCAAACAAAAACAGGTATGAAGCGTGAGAGCTTGACTCAACAGCAAGTGTAAACGCATAAACGCCCTCTCCTTCTTCGCACGTTTAGTGTAAAGCTGGGGTTAACAAGAGTTTCTTCGGGAAACGTTCCCTTTTAACGTTTCAATAATCCTTCTCAAACAATCTTTGCCTCAAATGTTGTTCAAATACCAGCAAATATGAAGAAACTATTGGCAAATTTCGGCCACTTAACAGAAATAATTTAAACTAACCATTCATGCAAAACAGCTTGTGTATCATATGTAATTGACATGGCAAATTTGGAAAGCCTCAAATGAAAAACCAGGGAGTTGTTTCCGAAAAATGAGCTTTTTGAACCGTTTTTCGTGGATATTCGTTATACGCGGGGGAAGTGAGCTTATTCCTTGCATAATGTCAAATATTTTGTGACATGATTGAAGAAAATCGGATAAAAAATGAGGAATTTATTCAAGTTTTTATTTTAAATCAAAATGAAAAACCCGATTTTTTTCAGATTTTCACAATTTATCTATGTGAAGTAATGTCGCCTGAAAACTATCAAAAACTCTACAGAAAACTCGTAAGATGAGATAGGTTTAGCATTAAGTGCAAATACATCAGCTCATCCAATAAAAATCTTTTTCGCGTATAACTTTGCCTTGGTTTTTGCCAAAAGTCGTACCCACCTTCAACTTTATGGATTTTTCTGCCAAACTCAGTGGGGCCTGGACATTGAACTGTTTGTTTAAACTAAAGTAATACATTTGAAATATGTGTATAGAATTTCATCAAAATCGCTCGAGAAATGTGGACGTTCATAAACAGCATACATACACAGACAGAAAGATACGTAGCCAGACAGACGTCATCGGTTTTATAGATATAGATTTCAGGAGGATTTATTAAAAATATCAAATGTGAAGCCTGGGGAAGAAAAGTATCACGGTCATAAGTGGGATCGAACGTAGAATAGCTGGTGTCACAGAAAACAAATAATCCGCCTGGCAACCTAACAGGCTACAGAGAAAATCCTTATTATCGTATCAAGTCTAAGGTTAATAACATTTTAACTATCAACTACATCTCAATAGAAGGATGCGATGATTATTTCAAAATTACTTTGACTGTATAAAATCCTTCATTTCTTGTTTATCTGTTTTACTGTTGTTTAAGCACTCACTGACGATTTAATTTAAGATTTCCATAAAATTAATTATGCAATTAACCATAAACACATCCTTGTCAAGTGGTTTCATTCGTAGATATAAAACTTCCTACAGAAAGCTGCTCACTGCCCGGATGAATCGCAGTGGTCTGTGGTGCAGGCTTCAAACCTGTGGCTGACTAACATCAGAGTGGTTCGATTCCACCCTCCGGGCGTTCGATTTTCCTCTTAAAATTAGAATACATAAAAAAAGATTTTTAACGAAAAATATAATTTTTTCCGCTTATTTCGATGTCACAAAATTAATCGACTACACAAAGGCGAATTTGTCAATCTTTATAGAGTGGGAGGTTCAAATGAATTCTCTACCTTGGTAACTAGACCGTGAGAATTTAAGCGAGCTACTAGATTGGTAATTAGGTCTCAACGGTTTATTGTTGAAAAAGCAACAGGTAACCGCAATATAATCTAATAGTTTCTTTTCGCAAATGTCTCACCTGTGCTAATCTTTTCCAATTTCTTGCTTCCTAGTCACTTACATTCTTGAAATAATTAAATGCAACGTAAAATACAATTTCACTTATTGACCTCTGATATTTGTTTTACCTTATTCCGATCTAAAAAAAAAATCGGCGGTTTACTAAAACAATAGAAACGTAACGCCTGGAAAAATAATACAGGTGTTAGAAGTGGGATCGAACGCAAGACTGAGGGCAATACAGACACACTACTATCCCACACGGCCACCAAACGCGTCATGCAACCGCCTTTTATAAAATCACATAAAATCTATAATTAATAACATTATAAGTGTCAATGAATTGCCGATGAATTCCCAGCAGAAGCGAACATTATCTCAAAATTAGCTTGACTGTACAAAATTATGTATCGTTTTTAATCACAAATTGAAAAATGATTTTATCAGAATATTTGGCTGACACTTAATAAGTCACTGACGTTTTAAGATAAGATTTTTCAAAAAATGAAATATGCAAATAACCATAAGCATATACTTGATAATTGGATTCATTCTTTGGTATAAAACATAATTCTCAATGCCCACTTGATGATGCCCAAATGATAGATAGATCGATAGATAGATCGATAGATAGATCGATAGATAGATAGATAGATAGATAGATAGAGAAAGAGAGTGAGAGGGATGTAAGTATGTCCACTATTTCGGCATAAATTTTCTATATTGAATTTTAAAATGAGTTTTTTACAACGAAAAAACATTCTTGAAGATTTCATTTTAGCTTTAATTGAAAGTTTAATAATTAAATTTACGATTTCTATTAATTAAACAATTCTAGTGTATTTCAAATAGAAACTATATACATTTGATTGTCAAATTTAATTTCAAATTTTTAAATTTTCTTAAAAACGGCCATTTTCTTAATTTTTAGAAATTTGTAAACAAACACAAATTTATCGATTTTTAAAATATTTAAAAAATATTCTGAAACGTTATTTTAGTAAAATTAAAAAAAATAAAGTTAAAGTAATCTTATTTCAAAGAAATCTTTCTTACTTATAGCATAAAAAATAATATACAACGAATTATTAACGAGCGGTCCTGTTCATCTGTTCGATCTTATTCATAATGGTTGATTGACGAGCCGATGACAGCTACTATTGATGACCATAAATGACATAATTTTTAAGTCTGAGTTTTTTAAAAAATTATTCTATTTGAGTATGATACACACTAATGGAAATACAATACATAAAATAAAATTATTTAGTGAAATAGTAAATGAAAAAAAGAAAAAATAATTTAAAATTTAAAGTTTACACTTTTACAGCTGAACGGAAAATACAATCTGTTAAGAAACGAAATGTTTTGAAAAGCCCACGTAAAGGGACAAAACCCTTAGATCACGTGACCTTGTTATAATAATGGCAATTTCTGTATATCATACATGGGAATAAGGAATGTATTAAGTAAAAATATACAACATAAAAAATTATTTTTAAAAAAAGTAGCGCAACTAAATTTATTAAACTTAGCAATTTTGGACTCGTAAATTTTTTTTCTACTTAATTATTACATAATATTGAGGAGCCCTCCTAATACAGAGCTTTACACGATGTTAAACTATTATAAATTATTATAATTAAAATTTCTTAAAAAACGAAAAAATTCTTGTAAAAATTAATTATTCATCAGAAAATAATTATTTCTTCAAACAATAATGTCCTTAATATTACTTATTTACAAAAGCAATTAAAAGCTATTCTAATCAAGTAATATCATAGTTTTATTGGATTCATTATTTTTCAATTCAGACAAGATTTTCAGTTAAGTAGCTCAAATTTGTAAAAGAAACGTAGGTTATTTACCATCTCCAAAGACACCTTCTTTTAACAAAAAAATAAAATTTAGGAGCCAAAATGGTTTTGGGCGAAATTTCATGAAATTAACTAAGTGGGGGTAACATATTTAAAAAAAATATTTTTTTCCAAAATTTTCTAAAAACAAAATATTTCAAAAATAATTTCATTCATTTGTGAATAAGTCCTGAAAATTTCATTAAGATTGGACAATTATTTTATTTTTACAAGAATTTCCAAATCAATATGTTTTCAACGGTAAAAAAACGCAAAAAAAAACTGTTATTATAAACGTGACCGCGATGACGTAAACAAAGACGACTTTACCCAAAATTTCGAACGTGTTAGAAAATATTAAAAAATTTCAAAAAATAATTAAAAATAGTTTTTTCTTTCATCTTAATAATAACATAAGCATTTTGACGATAATACTTTATTTTCTTTAAGCTTGTGGCATTTTTCATTTACGCTATGCTGTTTTTCCGCGAAAACAGTGGACATACGTAGATAGAGAGAGACTTATGATCTAGTCATATAAGCGATGGGAATTTTCTTATATAAGCTGTGACTGTTCAGGACTTGTTTAATCATGGTTCTCCACCATTTCCTCTCATTTGTAGCTCTTAGCAATATTTAACATTTTGCTATGTTTTATAATCACAGATGTAGGAGATGAGGAAATTAAATACAGAATAGGATGTACTAGAGGTAATTTCGTCCCCAAATAACCTGAACACATGTGTCATGCTCTCAAATACCTGACACAGATATGGAGGTCATGCATAGCGTCAAACTCGTTCAGAAATACCTAAAACTAGTCAAGGTACCCGGTGTTGCCTGAGTGTACATGACTGCAATTGTATAACCGCACCCCGTGTATACCCGCACCCCACTGTCTAGAAATATCTGCCCGCGTCCTTGCTTGAATGCATCATCCCTTAGTATACTAAACTACTCTCTCCCCTCATCTTTTTTTACGGTATGTCCTTCGCAAGTGTTTATTTGTTCTTAAAGCAAATTCATCGATAAAAACTTCATGTGTGATCGTTTCTCTTGGTTAAATTGTCTCAATGTTTTAGATATTCAGTAAATTTCCTAACTTTCAAATAGTATAGCATTGTTCACAAATCTAACAATCAAACATAAAATCTAACAATCAAACAAAAACAGGTATGAAGCGTCAGAGCTTGACTCAACAGCAAGTGTAAACTCATAAACGCCCCCTCCTTCTTCGCACGTTTAGTGTAAAGCTGGGTTTAACAAGAGGTTCTTCGGGAAATTCACAGATGTAGGAGATGAGGAAATTAAATACAGAATAGGATGTACTAGAGGTTTTTAACGTTTCAATAATCCTTCTCAAACAATCTTTGCCTCAAATGTTGTTCAAATACCAGCAAATATGAAGAAACTATTGGCAAATTTCGGCCACTTAACAGAAATAATTTAAACCAACTATTCATGCAAAACAGTTTGTGTATCCTATGTAATTGACATGGCAAATTTGGAAAGCCTCGAATGAAAAAGCAGGGAGTTGTTTCGGAAATATGAGCTTTTTGAAACGTTTTTCGTGGATATTCGTTATACGCGGGGGAAGTGAGCTTATTCCTTGCATAATGTCAAATATTTTGCGACATGACTGAAGAAAATCGGATAAAAAATGAGGAATTTATTCAAGCTTTTATTTTAAATAGTACGAAAAACCCGATTTTTTTCAGTTTTTCACAATTTTTATATGTGAAGTAATGTCGCCTGAAAACTATCAAAAACTCTACAGAAAAATCGTAACATGAGATAGGTTTAGCATTAAGTGCAAAGAACATCAGCTCATCCACTAAAAAATTTTTTCGCGTGTAACTTTGCCTTGGTTTTTGCCAAAAGTCGTACCCACCTTCAACTTTATGGATTTTTCTGCCCACCCCAGAGGGGCCTGTACATTGAACTGTTGGTCCTAAACTAAATGAATACATTTGAAATATGTGTATAGAATTTCATCAAAATCGCTCGAGAAATTTGTACTTTCATAAATAGCATACATACACAGATAGAAAGATACACGTAGACAGACAGACATCATCGGTTTTATAGATATAGATTTCAGGAGGATTTATTAAAAATAACAAATGTGAAGCCTGGGGAAGAAAAGTATCACGGTCATAAGTGGGATCGAACGTAGAACAGCTGGTGTCACAGAAAACAAATAACCAGCCTGGCAACCTAAGAGGCTACAGAAAAAATCAATATTATCGTATCAACTCTAAGGTTAATAACATTTTAACTATCAACTACATCTCAATAGAAGGATGCGATGATTATTTCAAAATTACTTTGACTGTATAAAATCCTTTATTTCTTGTTTAACTGTTTTACTGTTGTTTAAGCACTCACTGACGATTTAATTTAAGATTTCCATGAAATTAATTATGCAAATAACCATAAACACATCCTTGTCAAGTGGTTTCATTTGTAGGTATAAAACGTGCTTCAGAAGGCCACCTCCTGCCCGGATGAACCGCAGTGTTCTGTGGTGCAGGCTTCAAACCTGTGGCTGTATAACTTCAGAGTGTTTCGATTCCACCCTCCGGGCGTTGGTGTAATTTTATTATTATTATTAATCACACATAAATAAGTTTGTTTTTTTAAAACATATATACAATCTATTTCTGCATAGGTAACACATTTTGATGTCACTAGAATAGTCTACTATACACAGAGACACAAATTAGCCATCTTATAGAGTGGTAGCTTATGGCATTTGACAGAAGATAAATATTAATCGCAAATATGCGTTCTAATTCCAGTTGTGTTCGTAACTATAAACATCTTCTTGACAAATAGAGCCATTCGTAGCTATAAAATGTGCTTCAGAAGACTATCTGATGCCTGGATGAACTGCAGTGGTCTGCGGCGCAGGCTTCAAACTAACGTCAGAGTGGTTCGATTTTACCCTCCGGGCGTTCGATTTTCTTTTACTTTTTCATTTTAATATTAGAATATACACAGATACAACCACCAAAGCACTACCTTGTGTGGGGTGTGTGTTCTAAAAAGGCAGAATCAGCTTTTTCATTTCGTGAATGTGAGAGATATGATCATTTATTTCCTCTCATTTATTTCCTTTTATTGCCACATAATGTTGAACCGCAGTTTCTCGTAAGATCACCAAAGTTTAGCAACATCGATCCAGTTCAGTATCTAGATGAGTAATCACATTTTTATACCATGTCATGTAAAGCCTTGTTGTGAGTGTGGTGTAATGGATAATGGCTCTGAATTATTAACCTGAGATCTGGGTTCTAATTACACTTGGGTTCGTCATATTCATTAACGCAAAAATATCTTTGGGAAAGGTATGAATGTACCTTTTCTCCTCTCCAGCTATGGGTTAAATAGTAATACTTTTATCACTAAATCATAAAAAAAGGAAGAATACTTCCAATCCAAAAAGATTTTCTGGCTTTAAATCACCTGAAAGTTCAATATGTCTGGAAAGTGCTAAATTTTCCATTATTTTTAAAAGAATCGATTAAAAAACATTGTCAATGAATAATGACAAGGAACGAACTCTGTACTACAGTGGACGAAACCAATCGATTTGTATAAAATAAAATATCATATATGGAATTTTGCTTCCATATCTTGTCTCCTGTTCCGGGAATATATCAAGAGATTCTTAGCAAAATCCAGAGAAAGTTCTGTAATTTCATCGCTGCAGTTTTTGGCATCTCGTCTTTAATCACTTTAGCTCCATTACGACGTTGTTTCACTTTGACTATTCTATAAACAATTTCATGGTATTTGCTTTCAACAATTCTCCTCGACCTCGGGAATTTAAGCCTACTACTAGATTAGCTATTCGGTCTCATTTTTTCGTTGTTGAAATAGCGACACGTAATCTTAATTTATATTCTAAGAATTTCTTCTCTCGCATGTCTCACCTGCGGAACACTTTTCCAATTTCTTGCTTTCTTTGTTACCTACAATCTTCAGAAAATTAAATGCAACATGAATCTTCTTAGAGCCGGTTCTTTTATTGTCCTTTCACCTCAATAGAGTCTTGTCTTCTCATTCTTTTAAAATTGCATTGTATTAATCCATACCAAATGTAACGCCTGAGAAAAAAAAAAAAAAAGCAAATCAATATCGAACCTGGAACGAAAGCTAAAATGAATAATTGCTAACCAACTTGGCCACCTAAGCCACGAGCTTAAATTCGACAAAACTAACTGAAATAATATTTTAAGTATCAACTACTTCTTAATAGAAGGCGGCGATCATTATCTCAAAATTACTTTGACTATATAAAATCATTTATCGTTTTTAATCAGAAAATGACAATGATTTCGTCAGAATGTCTAACTGACTTTTAATAATTCACTGACGATTTAATATAAGACATTTCAGGAAATTAATTATGTAAATAACCATAAACACATACTTGACAAATTGGTTCATTCGTAGATATAAAACTTCCTACAGAAAGCTGTTTACTGCCCGGGTGAACCGCAGTGGTCTGTGGTGCAGGCTTCAAACCTGTGGCTGACTAACGTCAGAGTGGTTCGATTCCACCCTCCGGGCGTTAGATTTTCTTTTTAAAATTAGAATACATAAAAAAGATTTTTAACGAAAAATATAATTTATTTCCGCTTATCTCGATGTCACAAGAATTATAGACGACCAAAAGGCGAATTTGTCATCTTTATACAGTGGGAGGTTCAAATGAATTCTCTACCTTGGTACCTAGACCGTGAGAATTTAAGCGTGCTACTAGATTGGCAATTAGGTCTCATCGGTCTACTGCTGAAAAAGCAACAGGTAACCGCAATATAATCTAATAGTTTCTTTTCTCAAATGTCTCACCTGTGCTAATCTTTTCTTGCTTCCCAATCACTTACATTCTTCAAATAATTAAATTCAACATAAAATACAATTTCACTTATTGACCTCTGATATTTGTTTTACTTATTACCTTACTAGTGTTTTCTCATTTCGATGTAAAAAAAAATCGCCGGTTTACTAAATCATTAGAAACGTAACGCCTGGAAAAATGATACAGGTGTATGAAGTGGGATCGAACGCAAGACAGAGAGCAATACAGCCACACTACTATCCCACACGGCCACCAAACGCGACATGTAGCCGCCTTTTATAAAATCACATAAAATCTAAAATTAGTAACATTATAAATGTCAATGAATTGCCGATGAATTCCCAGCAGAAGCGAACATTATCTCAAAATTAGCTTGACTGTACAAAATTATTTATAGTTTTTAATCACAAACTGAAAAATGATTTTATCAGAATATTTGGCTGACACTTAATAAGTCACTGACGTTTTAAGATAAGATTTTTCAGGAAATAAAATATGCAAATAACCATAAACATATACTTGATAATCGAATTCATTATTTGATATAAAACATAATTCTCAATGCTCTCTTGAAGCCCGGATGAACCGTCGTGGTCTATGGAACAGGTTTTAAACCTATAGTAGCTGATTGTCGTCAGAGGGGTTCGATTTCACTTTCCGGGCGTTATTTTTTTTTTTTCATTAGTCACTCATAAGTTTGTTTGTTTGTTTGTTTGTTTTTTTAAAGCAGAAATATAATTTCTTTCTGCTTAGGTAACACGATTTGATATCACTCGATTATCGCCATCTTATAGAGTTGCGGTTTCTGATGACCTAATAGAAATTATTTTATCTTAAATTTCACAAATACTTATTCTATTTCTTTTGGGAAACATAATAAGATGAACATCCCTAAGATACAGATTAAATTAATTGCACGGTACCCGGATCCCGATTTCGCTGTAGATCTATGGTCACATCTTAGTCCCTACCTCCTTTAGTAATTGAATAACGAGAATAGGTCTATTCATCATTGCTTTCCAGTCCGGATAGTGTAAAATTATTTCTGTAGTAGAAATCCTTCCACGTTCCATATTGATGAACTTTACCAGTCATCTAGCCCAGTAAAAAAAAAAGAGTTTCGAATACTCTCTTCCAAGGTAATCAATCCTACAGTTGTTTTTCACAATAAACAAAAACGCGGATTCCCTCCTCAAGATACAGGGGCACTGAATGCGGGGGTGGGGTATGGGCGTAAGAATTACGAAGATATATTGGATAGATAAGATTTGATCTTAGATTTGAATCGGGAAAACATTCTCTCGGGAGTCTATTCCACAAAGCATCGGCTCTTGAAAAGAAGCTACCTTTATGGTATTCCTTCTTAGAAATCAATGTACTTGTTTTATGGCGGTAGAAATTGTAGATTATGATGTGTAGATAGCGGTTGACTTGAACAAGTTAAGACTGTAGTGATTGAGGAAGCATCCTCTCGGGAGTCTTTTTCATAAGGTAGCGGAAGATGCTATCCCAACTGAAACTCGTTCTGACCAATGGCAAACGAAGGGAATGAAGATGTTGTACATATCATGGAAGGTCTTACTCTAAGCATCTGAACGGGTGGAACTATGGAATATAGCCCGTCAGAACAATTTCCATGAAAAGAACGATAGAATAACGATAGTCTTACATTACAGCGTTTCGGATCACCACTGCTAATCCAATGACTAGACCCAAAGAGTTGTGAGTTCAATACCAGGCCACAGCAGTGGTGAACCAACATTTGGAGTGTTGAGTTAAAGTGAAATAACTGCGACATCCGAAAGAGGCGTGGCACGTGGAACTAGAATACGCTACCTCGGTGGACGAAATATAGTTTAGGTTTCGAAATGCAAATCACCTGAATAAGGCAGGAGCCTACAACGGCTGAAACGCTGTGAATATGGCAATGAAGATGACGTTAACAGTCCGAATAATGTACATAATGCAAGTAATCATACCACATCTCAGAGATATAGACAGATATAAAGGTTTCAGTTTGAAATGCAAATAACCTGAAGAAGGCCGGAGCGTACAACGGCCAAAACGTTGTGAATATGGCAATGAAGACGATAATAACAATCCGAATAATGTAAAAAATGCAAGTAATCATGATACCTCATCTCAGAGATATAGACAAAATCTGCAATGTTATCGGTCCTGAAGTTGCATTTCGGTTACCGTCACTT